AGAGCTGTAGAGTTGAATGTTTGCCCTGCTGGGTTTCTGTCTTGCTTCAGTCTGATCCTTTCTTGCTATTTTCCTGTTCCTGCCTTTTGAAATATGAATGTGTGCCTTCTACCTGGGCCACCATTGTGTCTTGGAAGAATATAATTTGTGGTTTTAAGTTTTTTATAGGAGATCACAACAGCTAAGAGTGTACCTTTAAAGGAGACTTTGGACTTTTGAGCAATCCTGGAATAGTTAGGAGGCTCAGGGGACTCTTGGAGACAGACTGAATGCATTCTGCATTGTGAGAGAGACATGAACCTTTGGGAGGCAAAGATGGAATGCTGAAGTTTGGATCTGGACTGTCCCCTAAAGACCTATGTACTAAAGGCTTTGTCCCCAGCCTCTGGTGCTATTGGGAGATACTGAAACATCTAGAGGGTGGGACTTAGTGGGAGGTCCTCAGGTCGTTGGAGACATGCCCTTGAAAGGTACAGGGGAACACCAGTCCCTTCCTCTAACTCTTTTGCATGCTGGCCATGAGGTGAGTGGCTTTGCTCTGTCTTACATATCCTCCATGATGTGTTTTTACAGGCCCAAAGCAACAGGGCCAACCAGTCATGGACTGAAACAACACAACTGTGAGCCACAATAAACCTTTTTTCTTTATAAGTTGATTATCTCAGGTATGTGTTATAGTAATGGATTCCTGTAGTTTCTGATCTAAAAAACGTAAGCAATCAGTGATTATACCTGTTACACATTACAAATGAAGAAGCAGAGCTTTTGCCTATTTTTCCTAAGCTGTTTGAACCCAAAAAAGTACCCATGTAAATATCCTTCAGTTGTGTTGGTGCGAGCCAAAGAATCAGGTAATGTACTATAAACCAAACTCACCCAACCGGCCTGCCCTTTTCAGTATCTTAAGACTGACCTAGGCCCCTGGTTTCAAATTGGACTAAAAAAGTGGTTAAAAAGGGTCCAATATATCATTGCTTATTTTGAACATGAGTGCCTTGTCAGCTGGACGTGGGGAACCAATTCCTTAGGTGTTTTAAAATAGCAATTTGAAACCATCCAGGCTAAAGTATCTGTGTTGAGATCTTCTTTCCCCAGTTGGCCGTGGTGGACCAGGTACACATCCTCAAAAGCTGACGCTGAGAATTTTGACCCTGTGTGTTACAAATAGCTCGATTCAGCAGGAGCTGCAGAGAACAGTGCAAATAGTTGCACACACTGGTTGGCACATCTGGCACAAGCCTTTACGATACTAGAAACCTGTGTCCTTGAGTTCTGAGGAGGAAGTCTTAGGAGCTCTGTCAGCTGCAACAGCCATTCTTCATTCACAGGCAGCCACTGCAGGGCCAGGAAGGAACCAAAGCAGGTCTGCCCTGTCCCACCACCTCAGGTGGGAGGAGCTTGTTTACTGGAACTGGAGAGTCACCACCTGCATGGCCATTCAGTCTTGCTTTGAGACGCTGGCTATTCAGTTCGCCTCATTTACCCTCCACTAATGATCCCAACACGTACCTGGAAGGCCCTGCCCATCTCTCCCAAACCCACTCCCACTAGCAATCTTGTCGCACAGCCCAGGATAACGAAGCACCCTCTATGCACCCGTGTTTTGCAATCCATATGCTGTGAACCTAAAATCCAGTTGTGAAAATATAATCACACTCCACCCTGGTGTGGCCCATCACCTTGTCCATTGATAGTACAAGGGTTGCTTGCTCTGCCCAGCAGTTAGTGCTTCTGATAGAAGAGCAAGTTTTGAAAATGTTCTCAGTGACAACATGAAAGGTTGCCTGCTAGGGGACTGAAAACAGGGGACACCTAGGTAACACATGGGAGTTGTGAGGGATGTAGACAGGTGGTCCAAGGCAAAGTCATTTTTCTCCATAGTAAAATAGGTCAGGCACCGTACCCAAGGGTTCTCTCAGGGCAAAGCCTTCACAGCCCCAGCTAACTCAGGCTGAGAGCTGTGTTTTCCTCTGGAGTCCTGGGAGGTAGGGATGGACAGGATGCGGCCTGACTACTTGTCCAGATGGGGACTCAGAGATATCGTGGAGGCTGAGAGGAAGAGGGAAAGAAAAAGGCTGTGTCCGAGCCAGAATGGCTACACAGACTGTTAGCTTGTTGTGTCACAGGTGCCCTAAGACCAGGGCTTTCCTTCCTCTCCTTCTGATGTTGCAAATTTAGAAGTCAGGAACATTCCTGGGGGTGGAGGGGAGGGCTATTAACTCTAAGGTCCACAAGGAACAGCAGAGAGAGAACAAGCAGAGGAGTTTCCAGCTCATTTTTAGCATTTCCCTGACGTAGAGGAAGAGGAAGGAAAGGATTTTAACTAACACCCTGAGCTAAAAATGGGGGAGTCAAAAAGCAAGATTATAAAAGTTAGGATATTTCTTTCCTTCCTTTTCCTTTACGCCCCACATGAGCGGCCACTGAGAACGCAACTCATTTTCAGTCTCTTTTGTAATTGGGGACAGGATTGAAATAGAGAAATGAACCTCCCTGGTAATGCTCTTTCTTATTCATGAGCTTCAATCTCTTTCCTTTGCAAATCTTCTGTCTCAGCTTCAGTGAGCCGGCAGACTGAAGCTTGCACACACTGCAGGCCTGACTTGTCCCCTAATGAAGTTGTGAGGCACAGTGAGGAGGTCTGAGCTTCAGAGGGACAGGAAAAAAGACCATACATTGAGTGAGGCACATTCACGTCTTCAAACGGAACAGTGAAGACCCCCCAAAGGGCAGAGCTGAACACGACAAATCAATCCAGTCAACTTCCATATGGAAGGTGAAGCTGAAGCTCTATAATTTAGGGCAGCAAAATCAGGCCCACACGCTGGCCCTCCCCACTTCCAGTCTGTGGCCTTCGGCACACTCCCAATTTTCAGCTTGTGTCTGGGACTTGCCACTCACCCTAAACTGAGTAGCCTGGGACTCTAAGATGCAGTAGGCACTGCATGAAGCTGAAGCTTCCAGAATCATTGAATGCACCAAAGTGCAGCTGTTCCCACTTTGTGGATGAGGACAACTGGGGCTCAGAGAGTCTTAATAAGTTAGCAAAGGGCACTTTCAATATGGTGGAGCCTCGAAACATGCTCTATAGAACACAGCATGTGAGGGCAAGTGTTAGAGTTCAAATTCAGGTCTTAAGACTCTGAGCCTAGTGCTATTTCTACTACCCCAAAGTTGTAGAGCTTTTTCCAATATATTCTGTCATTAATCATGGTGGATTATATTTTATTGCTTCATCACATTTTGTGAATAAGTGAAATATGTGTGACTTTTTTTTTCTTTTTTTTTTTTTTGAATGAGGAACATTCTATCCTTTCAGCCTCTGTCTTTGTTCTCCCATTCAGACTCAATTAGTTCTCCTTAATTTTTATCCTCCAGGTCCCAGAAAGGACAGGTACTGACTTGAGAGGTGTCTCAAATCTGAGGTCAGACAAGGTCAGGACCCTGTTGCTGCCATTTTACATTAGGGCTGAGTGGATCTTAGATAGGGTCTGATTTAATTCTCTCTTTTTGCAGATAAGAAAACTGAATCCAGGAAGATTGGTTTTCTAAAGGTCACCCAGCTTCCCAGTAGCACAGCTGGGGACTTGAGCTGCACTTGAGTCTGCACCCTAATTCCAGGCCAGCTCCACGCAGCTGCCATGACACCTTGGGATATGCACTAATGGAATTGCTTCCCTTTGGCTCCCCTTGACTATATGCAGAGGTTGGTGCTTCTCAGGTAAACCTTGTAGGACCGAGGAGATTAAACACAGGACACGGGGAGATCATTCCCTTACCTTAAACTGAATTTTCCAAAACTAGTCTCAACCTCTTCAGGGCCTCCTTGAATGGGCTTAGGGTAACTCTCTTCCTTTAGATGCTGCTGAGACCTGCAGGGAGGGTTCATATGGAGGAGCCTAGAGAGATCCAAACTTTGACTACCTCTTCCTATTTATCATAGGTGTTGCTGTAGACCGAGACGGTGGCACTCAAGTTCAGAGGAGTGGGACTCTGAATTTATCTGTACTAACTGGGAAATATCCTCTTTTTGTGAAAAGATTTCAAATAGCTACCCCAAATGTAACTTTTTCTGTCAATGGGCAAGTAAGTTTATCACTTTCAGGGGTCAAAAGTTCACATAAAACATTCCCAGTCAGGATCATTTTAGGTCATGCTGGTACAAACTCATCTTGGAATGCAACCAACAACACTCCATATGAGGTCTTAGCAATAAGTGTCTGGAATATGAAGCGGCTGAGAAATGCCACAGGTGTATCCAAAGGGTCCTTACACAATGAGATCTGGTCTGGCAGCCATCAATGGCTAGAATCACTAAGCTATGGGCTAAGAAGTCTATGTCTGATGCAACAGCACAGCTGTTTTGGGATAAAAGATAGAGACTTTGATGGAACAGAGGCAAAAGTGAGAGACTCAAGACTGGAGTGGGAGTATGAGCCCATCTCATCCACCTCTGATCACAACTGATGGAGCGTGGAGAAGGAGGTCCTTCATGCTCTTCTGGGTGACATGTAGGAGTAGAGGTTCCTATTTATCAGCTAGAAGCAGAGAAGTGAGAGTGTTGGTATGTGAGAAATGGGGAACAATAACATTGGGGGTTTTGTATTCTGCACAGAACTAGCTGGCTTTCCCTCTGACCTTAGGCAGGTGGAATGAGAGAGATCTGGTCTCAGGGTTGTTGGTGTCCAGAGCCCAAGTCAAATGTAGTCATCAAGAAGCATCAAGTGCTTTCAAAATAACATTCTCTCTAGAACACTGGAGGCTAGGGATATAGCTCAGTTGGTAGAGTGCTTTCCTTGCATGCACAAGGCCCTAGGTTCAATCCCTCGCACCACCAAAAAATAAAAAAATAAAAAACAAAAAACAACATGTAAGCATCTGGATGACAATACCAATGAATTCATAACTATTTATTGTAAATCACTTGTAGTTTATACATTATTAATGGCAAAATAACATGGTTAAACACCTGCTGGATAAAGAACCTCATTATGATAATTTCTGATTGGCATCATTTCTCTTTCTAAAACTTACATTTTAAGTCCTACATTGTTCCTGAAAATATCTATCTTCAAAGTACTCTTATAACAACATTGCTATAGAGCCTTCCTTTGTATACACACATCTAACACAAAGGGCACGATTTTCCATTAATCTGACATGTTCTTTACAAGATAACTGGACAAACAAAAATTGCTTTAGTCCAGAAACTACATAATGATCACTTTATATTTTGCTGCAAAATCAATGACGGAGCATGCAAATGAAACGTTAATAGACAAAGAGTTCTAGACAACTTTCAGTTATTAAGATCTGATGACCTGGTGTGAAAAATTATTACACTTATTTAGCAGGAGTAGCTAACGTACATGCATCAGTGGCTAGGATCCATTAGAATACAAATTAGGTGTCTAAACATTTAAATGAGAGCTTCATTTGAGCTTAATTTGATGTCTGGCATGTGTGAGTTATACACCTTTAAAATGACAATAGCAAAGAGAACAAAATCAAACATCTAAGCAGGCATTGATTTATAGGTTGGGCTGAGCATATGGCTAGAGCACAAAACTAGCCTAGTAGTGAACCAATCTCATTTAAAGCAAAGGCAGTGGAGCATTAGCTAGCTGTAAACAGGGGGGAAAAGAGTCATTTCCATTATCCTCATTTTTTAAAGTTTTTGAATCTCTTACATTAACAATCCAAAAAATAAAATAAAATAAAATAAAAAGCACACAGACACAGTAATTACAAAACAGGAACACTCTTCTGTTACTGTGAAGACCCCTCTTTTGTCTTCTACCCCACCTCTCTGCTCCTTTAGATGGTATGTTTAAAAGCAATACTGGGTTAATTGGTAGAAAATAAAACAAATATTCTCTCGGATCACACTGAAAGAGTTAAATATCTATCCTGCCAGGGTTAACATCATGTACAAGCACATAACAATGTATATATGACACATTGTAGCTACAGCAAAGAAATCACATGTCCACATTCTAATGTTAAATCATGATCCTAATATTGACTAAAATTTTTTTTATCAATAGTTAGAGTTGACATCATTTTGAGAAAACAAGAAAATCCCACATCACATAGATCCCATTCCTTCCCCATCCTCCACCCCCTCCTACGACCCACGAACAAGGGAACCGCAGTGATAAGAGCCGTGAGCCGAGGCAGAGGTGGGGACGCTGTTCCAGGTTCAGCCGCTGCCATCTCCAGTCTTGGCTTTGCGAGCCTCGATCATGGCCTTGGTGGCCTGTTTTCGATCAGTGGCCAGCCCCAGCAAGCACATGAAGTCAATGAACCAGGTGGTTGGGTTGAAATTTAAGCCAAATTCACTCGCAGAGTAATCAAAGGGAAAGGTGTGATGGTAATTGTGGAAACCTTCACCTGGAAGACAAAGAGAGCCTTTGACATAACTCCACCACCTCCTCTCTGTACTGATTTCTCTGTTGGTGGTGTATTACCGATACCCCAATTGTGTATACACTAATAGTGTCATATTTGTACATGCACATGACAAAATTTAATCAATCTCAGGACCTTTCCTTTCCTTCATTTTCTTTCTCTCCCTGATCTGTTTGACTATTTTACTGATTCTATTATTATTATTATTTAGTGTATTTAATTAATGCATTATAATTATATCAGTGGGATTGATTGTGGATATTCAAACAAGCACATAGCATAATTGGGTAGATTATATTACCCAGTATTTCCCTCATGTCTTCCCCTCCTCCCTCCCTCTCCATCTCCCTCCCTTATTTCATGAGATCCCCTTTTTAAAAAAATTCTCTCTCTAGCTTCTGGATATGAGAGAAAATATTCAACCCTTGACTTTCTGAGTCTGGCTTATTCATTTAGCACAATGACTAACATAATTTCTTTTCTTTTTCTTTTTTGCAGTGCTAGGAATCAAACCCAGGGCCTCAGGAATGCCAGGCAAGCTCTCTGCCACTGAGCCACATCCCCAGCAAATGAAATTTTTCATTCTTCATGACTGAATAAAACTCCATTGTATATAATACCACATTTGTGTATATATAACACTCCTCAGTTATGGGCACCTACTTGCATAGATTTTTGTATCACCCCTGTTTTGTGAGGGTGGTACTAAAGATTGAACCCAATGGTGCTTTACGTCTGACTTAGCTATCCAGTCCTTTAATTTCTTATTTTTATTTCTTGTTTTTTTTTTCAGATAGGGTCTTCCTAAGTTGCTGAGGGTCTTGCTTAACTGTTGAGGCTGGCCTTGAACTTGCAGTCCTCCTGCCTTAGCCTCCTAAGTCATCAGGATGACAAGATATGCCACTGTGCCAGGCTATCACCCATTTTTTTTGAGGGTCTATCATGTATAAGACATTATGTCAGGCTCTGTGGGGAGCAAAAGACTTGGTTTCAGCCCTCAAGAACATTTTCTCAGTTGGTTAGATTCAGTGTGGACAGAAAAATAATGCCATTAGTTATCAGCATAAAATCACAGGATTAATTTCCTGTGTGAATTGCGGATATGATAGTACAGACTTCAAGCTGGACTTCTCAAGCTAAATGCTAAGTGGCTGATAACAGATCATCATTTTGACATGTTTATAAAAGAAAAAGAGTCTTTGTGGACTGGAGTGATGACAGCAAGACTTCTTGGGCGAGCCTGGAGGAGGGGAATCAGAATTATTCAGATAAGTAAATTAAGGAGTTAGATCTTTAAATATCCAAAATCAGCTGGGTGGTGGCACATGCCTGTAATCTCTGGAGACTGAGGCAGGAGGATTGCAAGTTCAAAACCAGACTCAGCAACTTAGCAAGGCCTTAAGCAACTCCATGAGATCCTGTCTCAAAATAAAAAATAAAATGGAGTGGGGAGGTTGTTCAGTGGTTAAGCGTCCCTGGGTTCAAACCCTGGTACCAAAAGAAAAAAAAAATCTCAAACCTATCCAAATATTATTTTCCCTCTCCCAATGAGTTGCTCTCCTCCCTTACCATTTTTTTTCAAAAATATGTTCATAAAAGGTATGAGGGCTTCTCCAAATTGATTTTTTGTGTTTCTTTTTTAAATTGACAAAATATATATGTATCATACAAACTTGTTTTGAAATATGTATATTTACTGTGGAATCACTAAATTGAGCTAATTAACATGTTACCTCTCATTTTTTATGGTAAGAACACTTAAAATCTATTTTCAGCAATTTTTTTATACTTTTGTTTTATTTTTTTTTATATGGTGCTTAGGATCGAACCCAGGGCCTTGCACGTGCTAGACGATCGCTCTACCGCTGAGCTACAATTCCAGCCCTATTTTCAGCAATTTTTAAGACACAATATATTGTTATTAACTATGGTCACCATATTGTACAATAGATCAATTATTTCTTGCATCTAACTGGAATTTTATATATTTTAACCAATACTCCCAGCCTCCCTGTCACCCCACCCTGGTCACCACCATTCCACTCTACTTCTATGAGTTCAACTTTTTTAGATTCCACATTTGAGAACATGCAGTATTTGTCTTTCTGTGCCTCGCTTTGATTGCTTAGCACACTGTCCTCCAGGGTCATCCAGACTGTCACATATGACAGGATTTCCTTTTCTGAGACTAAAGAATATTCCATTGTGGATATATTCCTCATTTACATAATGCATGTTCTTTATCCATTCATCCATGGATGAACACTGAGGTTGATTTTATATCTTGGCTATTGTGAACAATGTTTCAATCAGCACAGAAATCTCTCTTTCAACACTGTCATTTCATTTCCTTTGGATACATACCGAGCTGTGGGATTCCTGAGTCAGATCAGATGGGAGTTTGATTTTCAATTTTTTGAGGAACCTCCATACTGTTTTCTATAATGGCTGCACTAACTTACAGTCCCGCCAAGAGTGGGCAAGGGTTTCCTCTTCTCCACATCTTCCCCAGTGCTGGTGATCTTTTGTCTTTTTGCTAATAGTCACTCTAACAGTGGAAGTGTTCTGATTTACATTTGCACTTCTCTGATGATTAATTAATTTTGTAAAATTACCTTAATTTTATAAAATGATTTTATTAAGATATAGTTCACATTCCATACAATTCACCCTTTAAAACTATCCCATTGGAAGGCTTTTAGGATATTCACAGAGCTGTGCATCCATCACCACAGTGAATTTTATAACATTTTTATTATTCCCAGAGATATGCCCACACTTCCTTGCCATCTCCTCAACCTCTTCCCAATCCCTCCCAGCTTACTTTCTGTCTGCATAATTTGCCTGTACTGGACATTTTATGTAAATGAAGTCATACAGCATGTAGTCCTTTGTGACTGGCTTCTTTCACTTAGCGCGTTCTTAACACGATCTCATGGCTGAGTAGTATTTCATTGTATGGATCCACTGCATTGCATTTATCTGTTTATCAGCTGGTGGACATTTGGGTTCCTCTCCGCTTTTTAGCTACTATAAATAATATTGTCAGCATTCATATACAAATTTTTGTGTAGGCCCATGTTTTCATTTCTCTTGGGTATAAAATCGGGGAGTGGAGTCGCCAGGTGCTGTTTTCAGCTGTTTGAGGACTGGAAACAGACTCTCCCCTTGCTTCTCGAGTGGGTACTGGTTCTCCTCTGATCCTACTGGAAGAAGGGACTCCACTTTACAATCAGTCCATCACATGGACTCATCTGTGGTCTGCAGTTTTCTTTTTTACTTTAGCTCTTTCCTTCTCTGCCCTTCACTTGTATCATTTTTGGTGTTTTTCGTGGAGTACAGTATGGAGGAGTTTCTTCCTGTTTTCAGACAGGCACTACGTATCCGCTCCCCTCTCTGCTGGACAATGAAATGCAACACAAGCCTTCCAAGGACCTTTATGAAGCAAACCTCCTGGGAGTCCAGCATCGGCCTGGACAGACTTAACACCAATGTCCAGCTCTGCAGGTTCCCGGCCCATCTATCCCTATATAAGATGTGATGGTTTGTCTTATTCCCACTTCTGGATGTGGCGCCCCTCATTGTGGTCCTCAGAAGATAAGGGGTGAGAGAAAAAGAAGGTGGGGGGGGAGGGGCAGGAAACACCTCCTCTTTTAATTCCAAGACCCATTTCTACCTTCTCATCCAGCTGCTAGCACAAGTTGACAAAATCTTTAGGATCCCTGAGATCTTCACAAATAGATGACTAATAGAATGAAATAGTAGCGGAAACTCATTGCTGAGTGGCACAGAGAAGGTTCCTGTCTAGCAGTAGGAATCTCCCTTCCTGAGTTGATCTCTGTGTTCAGGACACAGCTTACCAAGGAGTCTGAGTTGCTTCTGTAAAGAAGTAGTTAATATTTATGAATCACTTACTGTGTGCTAGGCACAGGGCCACGTGTGTCTTACCAGGTATCAACTCCTATTATCCTCACACCTCTGAGCTAAATGCTATGAGCATCCCCATTTTAAAATGCAAATGAACAGAAGGGACAAGTAATGCACCTAAACCCATAAGGCTAACAATAAAAGCCACAGCACAGAAGGCTGATTTCATGCTAAGCTGCTAAGCACCATTCTAAACACTAGGTATTAAGTCATCTGACTCTCCAACGAACCCAGGAGGAGGTAAGGGCTACTATTATCCTTACTTTACAGGGAAGGACATCAAATGTAGGGGAGCCAGATCACTTGCCCAGAGAAAAAGTGGAGGATCCAGGACTTGACCAAACTCACATGACTCCATTAGCCTAGCTCGTAAGCATGGAGAGTCCGTGTCTCCTTTCTCCCCATCTCCCTGTTTGGAGCCCCCTTTTCCTGCCACATGATTGGACAGTCAAGGCTAGAGTGGCCAGGGAAGTTTGAGAGAAAAGTGCTGCTTCTTCTTTAGGAAAACTTCTGTAGTAAAAATAAATAACTACTATTTATTGATCACCTATTAGGTAGCAGGCACTGCACCAAGCAATTTATGTCTTCCTGTAAATCAGAGAAATCACATGAGTTTGCAAGAGCCGGGATTCTAAGGTCAAAGCTCAAGTTCACTCCACTCCACTCCTTCTTTGTACAGATCCCATAAAACCACTGAAATGTCATTCTCCCCGTGGACTTTCAATTCCCCTACTCACCAATGGCGCCCAGAGTGACAAGTGGGTTCTGTCGAGGGCTGACGTGCTTGTCATAGGGCCGGTTTCCATACATGTGGGCAGCACTGTTGACCAGCCAGGTGCCATTGAGGGAGATGGTGTAACGGAGGATAGTGGCCAAGAAATAGGAATTCCACAGACTCTCTCCCCAGATGTACCAGGGCACCACCGTGGGGAACACAAAGCACATGAGCACCACGGTGATCTTATAGTACCTATGAGGGAGGACACCAAGTTATTATTAGGCACCCACGGAGGTTGACGGAGGTGGGAATAGGCTGAACAAGTTCCTAGGGGGGAAAAACACACAAAGGACCTCTGCCAGTCAGCACCTTCAGCTCTTTCTGATAAGGAGAACCTTGTTGTGTGTCACCCTCTCTGCAAGGTCACAAACCCAAATACACACAACAGCTAGGCAGATAACAGAGTTTTGAATGGTCGAATGCTATAGCAAGTGGTCAGTCTTATAGTGTACTTCTGAAGAATTTCAATGTTGAGTAAAACACTGAAACATTGTACTTGCCAGACCATATATCTTGGAGGTCCAGTAATCCTACAAGCCACCAGTTTGAGACAGCTCCTAGAGATTTCTTTCATCAGTCAACAACCTGATAGTCAGGTTTTCTTGAATAATTTCAAGACGCTTAGTATTACTTGAATAATTTTAGGTGCATGATTCTGTACTAAGTTTGATAAAAAGGTAGATAAGCTTGCGCTTAAAAAAATGTTCTCTCTCCATCAGAGATTATATGCCAAAATAGCATAAAAAATAAACAATGAGTATAGACACAGGTGTGGTCACATAGAAAGTAATCATTAAAAGCAAACCTTGGGCTGGTTGCAGTGGCACATGCCTGGAATCCCAGTGGCTGAGGCAGGAGGATCGCAAGTTCAAAGCCAGCCTCAGCAAAAGTGAGGTGCTAAGCAACTCAGTGAGACCCTGTCTCTAAATAAAATATAAAATTGGGCTGGGATGTGGCTCAATGGTCGAGTGCCCCTGAGTTCAATCCCCAGTACCCCCACCCCCACCAAAAAAAAAAAAAAAAAAAACAACAACCTTGGGCTGGGGATATAGCTCATTTGGTAGAGTTCTTGCCTCACATGCATAAGGCCCTGGGTTCAATCCTCAGCACCAACAAAAAAGAAAGAAAAGCAAACCTTTGCTCTTTAGATTTTTGGCCTGAGTATCTATCAAACAATTACTAAGAACCTACTACGTGGCGGAGCTATTCTGATTCCTTTACATGTTATTGATTCATTCAATTGCAATAAAAACTCTTTGAGGAAGGGATCATCATCATTCCCATTTTACAGATGAGGCAACTGAGAAAGAGAAAGCTTATACACCTGGCTTTAAGTCACAAGACTAATGACAGTAGAACTAAAATTCAAGTCCAGGCAGAATCATGACAGAGACGATCATACTTTTCTGGCAAATGAAGTGACATCCATACCTGCGTTTTGGAGATTGCTAGCTGTACCTGGGTGTTGGTTCCCATGATAATTATGCTTATTGGGCAACATATTAATTCATCAGCACCCATTTTTCAATCACGTAGGATATAGGATGGCTGCATTTTAGTGGCAAGTGGGCACCCAGGAAGCCAGAGGGGTGAGCTATAGTTAGAGGAGCCAAGACAACAGAACAACTTGTCCTAGAGTGGGCTCCCTGGAGCCACAGGCAGAAGGTTTTGGGGAGCACTCTTCAGACATATCTGTAAAGAAGGGGGCAGAGCAGCATAGGGCTCAGGGAGAAGCTCGCTCACGATGAGTTTCTGAGGATCTGATGGGGCACTCTGGGATGGGTCACCTAGGGAGTTGTGTCAAAATGAAGATGTCCCCACAGCATTCAATCATTGGCCTCCGGGTGGCCCTGGGTGGGATAGCTCTTGGACAAGAGCGATTTCCAGAGAGGACTGCAGAGGCAGGTGGGCACATGAGCTGTAGTGGGCATGGATGAGAGCAGGGGGCGGGCATGAGACCCCGCACTGGCCAAGAGCCTGGGAACTGGGCACCAGCAGGTGAAGAAGCAGGGGTCTGAAGGGAACACGGAAGAGGTACCAGAGCCAGGGAGTGCTTCTCCTCCTCCTTTATACCTCTGGGGAGGAGAGAGAACTGCTGAGTGCAGCCAACAGAAGGCATTTTGCTACCCCAGCAGCTTCTTCCTCTCCCTCCACTCTCTTGGTTACAACCCAGAGCTTTTAAAGGAGCCTCTTCCTGGTCCTATTCTCACCTTGAGAAGAAGGCAAAAGAAAGCACATGCCCTGAGGGCTTGCCCTGTGTGGGGCAGTGGGCTAAGAGTGTCATGGGCCCTCTCACTGAATCCTCATAGCAAACTGGAGACAGACACCCTCCAGCCATCAAGACCCTGAGGCTTGTGGAGGTACCACAGCTTCCCCAGCGAGAGGCCAGGCCTCCTCTGGCTCCCCGCCCTGCCCCAGGCCTTCTCTGTCTGACTGCAGCTGCCCCATAGGACTCAGGCCCTGCCCCTGCCTTCTCCCCCTGAAATATTTAAGGAGCCACCTGCAAGCCTTGGCTCTGGTTCTAGAAGCTCAACTCCACTGGGTCCCAGTGGAGGGAGAGAGCCTGGCTTCTTAAGTGTGAGAGGGGAAAAAAAAAAAAAAATCATGGGCTCAACTGCTACATAACCACTTCCCTAAAAAAAGATGTTCTTAAAAAACAAAACAAAACAGAAAGAACAAAAAAGCACTGTCTTCCTTCCAACAAAGCTGCAGCAGGTCAAATTACAGAACAGTTCTCCAGTTGTTCTTCCTAGTAGTTGGCTGAGATTACTCCTGTAGGTTCAGGAGAATGGAAGGAGGAAGGAATGTTTAGAGGCAAGTGAGTCTGAGTAGGACACCCACCAGTGGGATGGCTCTTCCAGAGAAAACGGTTTATACCTTCTCCCTGACCATTTCCAACAGACTCTGCAAATCTTTCCCATGTAGCCGAGTCGCCCTTCCTCCCATACACCAAGATTCTCCAGCAGCTGGTCTCTATTTAATCATGGTCACAGCCTCTGTGCCTCTGAACAAGCCCTAGGGGGACTCCCCAGTTTCCTTGCTCAATAACACTCAAATCTGTACGCCTTTGCCAGATTCCACAAAGTCTTCCAGCACTGAATCCTTCCTCATTTAAAACCCTTCCTTTCTTAAACTGGTGGAAGGGAGCAGGGCTAGAGAGGGCCTGCTGGTATTCTCTTGCCTTTTTGCGATTTTTTCTTTCTTTTTTTTTTTTATGTTGTAAAGCATGGCAGGACATTTAACTACCCATTAGGCCATTTCCTAGCTGTGTGACCTTGAGCGGATTATTTAATTGTGCTGAGCCTCAGATTTCTCTTCCATAAAATGCTCTACTAACAAATTTATTAAGTGGTCACCATGTGCCAGGCTCTTAAATGAACTCAACACAATAATCTCTCCCCTTATGGAGGAGGGGTGTTCTGGTAGAGAGCTGTTAATCTGACATTCCGATAGGAAAGACACAAGAAACATTACAAATAAACAAGACCAAGAGCGTATTCATGGTAAGTACTAAGAAGAGAAAGTAGAAAAGGAGAATATGATATATCAAGGGCAGGTACTGTAATTTGAAATAGGACATCTAGGGAAGGCCTCACAGACACTCTGGTTTTTTTTTTTTTTTTGGTAAAGGCTTGAAGGAAGTGAAAAGTTAGCCATGTGGCTAAGACGGGGGAAACCACAAATACAAAGGCCCAGAAGATATTCAGTGGAACAGCAGGAGGGCTGGGGCCAGAGCAGTTGAATTGGTAGGAGAGTTGCAAAAGATTAAGTGACAGGAATAATGAATGGGGGGACCAAGTATGGAAAGCTGTATAGGAGGCCATGCAATAATCTAGGGAAGGGAGTATGGTGGCCTGAACCAAGAGAGTAAAGGGGAGGGGCGTGGTCAGATTCTGGATGTATTTCAAAAAGAGAGTGACAGTACTTGTTAATAGGCTTGATATTGGAGACAAGGGGTGGAGTTGAGGAGGACCCCAGGGATGGAGATGCCATTGGCTGATTTGGGGAGAATGGAGAAGGAGGTGGTTTGAAGTGGCATAGGAGAGCTCAGCCTCAGGTATGGTAAGGGGGAGATGCTTGCTGCCCCTTCAAAACAGGAATGCCAAGGAAGGCATGTTCATATCCAGAGCTGGAGTTTAGAGGTGACAGGAATAGCCACTCTCACACATTTTCTCATTTGAGTTCCACAACAGCCCCAAGAAGTGATTTTTATCACCTCTCTTTTGTAGGAACTTTGGAGAGGTCCAGAAAAGGATTGAGACTTTCCCATGGCCAGACCAGTACAGAGCACTGCTAAGCCTCAGAATGAGTTCTTAATCTCTGATTATCTGCTGCCTGTAAGTAAAACCTGGTTGACACATCTGGACAACCCAGAACAGGTCACAAGAGAGATGTAAATTTACCCAATATTATTTAAGATTGCCAAAAAGTGGAACAACTCAAGGGTCCACCAATAAATACATGGTAAACAAAATGTTGTCTATGTATATAATAGAATATTATTCAGCCATTAGGAATGAAATTTTAATGTGCACCATAACGTGGATGGACTTTGAAAACATTATTATTAGTAATATAAATCAGACACACAAGGACAAACACTATATGGTTCCATTTACAGGAGGTAACTAGAATGGGCGAATTCGGAGACAGAAATGAGAACAGAAGTTAGGGCCATTGGTAGGAGGGATGAGAGGGGAAATTATTGTTTAATGGATACAGAATTTTTATAAGAATAATTAAAGTTTCATGTAGAGTACAGATGGTTATCATGGAAGTACTTAATGCCACAGAACAGCACACTCATGAATGGTTACAGATAAATATCGTTATGTTTATTTTAGCACAATAAAAATAAAATTATAAAGAAACATTTTCCTCAATAATAAAAAGAGCATAAGGGCAAAGATGGTTTCTGTTTTTCTCCAATGATACCCTGTCTTGCTACAATATTTGTGGCTTTGTTGGGAAGAAGCCTGAGTAACCAAGTTGATCCTTTAGGCTGATGGAGCAGAGGACAGAAAGGTCCTTGAATATGCTAAGACCCTACACTGCATGGCCAGTCTTGAGGTTGCTTTATCCGCATGCCTTACCTTGCAATGCAGAGCATTTTCCCTGTTCAAGACAGTTGAGTCAAGATTTTCTGAGGAGTAGCCAAAACCACTGTAGAACACTAGAGTGGATACTGTGGT